TGGCAAAGCCTCAGAAGCGCGGGAACCCGCCCGGTGCCCCTGGTCTGCTGGAGACGGTCTCCAGCAGACCAGGGGCACCAGAGCAGCTTACGAACGGGGCTTTCTCGCCCCGACTTCCGGGGCGAGAAAGCCCCGTTCGTAAGTGCAGATCCGACATAAGTCGGATCCGCGTAAGTCGGGGACTGCCTGTATTGAATATTTATGTATATCTGTTACTTTTGGCAGTATTGTATTACTTTCTAGCGGATGTCATAGTGTTTCATTATCTTCTTTTCTTGAGGTGAGAGTGGATAAGAATATCTGCAGGGACAAGTGAAATGTTTGCTGACTGTTAAATTAGATTAATGTGGCAGGGTTTTAAAAAAATTATGTGCACCACTATTGAGTAATATTGTTCTAGTATTGTGTCAAGTTGTGAAGAAAAGTGCTTTCAAGCTAGTTGTCTTTAATTTCTTCTCTCCTTACCACCCAGGCTTGCAAATCTGAATGTTTGTTTTGGAGATGACCTCTTCAGAGCTGTAAATGAAGTTACTGAAAGGTGTCTCATTGCTCCATCTTTTTTGGAAAATTTGGAGAAGACTTGGGCAGAATATAACTTGGCTCAAGAGATGATTCAGTTGTGCAAAAATGTGGTAGGTTGGAATTTTTTTCTCACAGCTGTCATTTATAGGCTGTTGATAGAGTATATTAATCTTAGAAAATGAACTCTGGTATCATGAATAGAGAATGGGAAAATCTACCCTGCCTTAGGTAACTGCAGTATTTTCCATGAATGATAAATGTATGGGTTGTTTGTTTCATTTTAAAGAAAATTAAACTTTTGACACTCCCAATTTAAACAAGGGTTTTGGGGCATTAAAAGCCATCAGCACATACCAGGTACAGATTTTAGTATGCTTCCTGCACAGAAGACAGTGAGGACCTGTGGTATGGGTCTTAACAAGCCTGCAGCTTTCTTAGCCATGTTACATTCAAGATTCCCATCAGGGGACAATCCTGTGCAGTCACTAATATCCCACTGATCTTTTTCTAGTTCTTGGGGATCCCACTACAGAGGGAACTAGTCATCACACTAAGAGGTTCTCTGTGTGTCTCCACTCACCCTCTAGCATACCTGTTTGATAGTTTAGATGAGAGGGGGCCCCCGCCAACACAACTATGAAGTCCTGGGGTAGTATCCTGGCCTTTGATTTGCACTTGCCTCCTCGAGGTTAGACTCAAGCCCCGTCTTGTAAGGAGCTGCCCTCAGGACACCCTGGGTTACCTTTTTGGATCTGGAGCATAAATCGGCAAGTTCTTGCACTGGGTACCTGCAAAAGCTGCAGCAAGTGAATGTCTCTCTAACAAATTCAAAAACTGTGCAATCTGTGAGGGAGAGAATCCCAGCCCTCTGACTGCTGAAAACTCACCCCTAGGTTTCACTGTGAGGAAGGTGAGAGAACCTCACCAAAGTCCGCCTTGGCCAGTTGGTGCTATCTAGAAACATCCTTTCCCAGACTCAAAAGGATGACTAGCACAGCCCACAGCAATCTAGATTCGGGGGCGGGGAGGAAGGCAGAGAGTGTGGGGTTGACTGCTGGAAGCAAGCAGAAGAAGTGGCCCTGAGCGTGGGGCTCCTATCATGGCTACAAGTCTTCTGCAAATCCCCTAAGACCTTATGGTTCCAAATCTCACGTGATCTCAAGCCAACCCTGGACATTCCCAGGGAGCTGGCAATCTTATGGGATCTGCGCTGTTTGTCCTCTCTTGTTGCGTTAGCCCTCAAAACTCACTGCTTCCTAAACTTGGGGCCCTCTTGTGTTACTGTAATAAGAAATTAGATTCTTCTTTAATGCTGGAGATTCTGTGTCTGTCACACCCCATAAGTGGTCGTAGGGACTGTATTCTAAATACAGGAGAGCTTTGTGCTCCTTGCTTGTGGTAGGGAGAAATCAGAATGGTTAACAATATAGAAATGTGTGTGGTAGTCTAGTGTGGGACAGTGCTTGGCAGCCTTTTTACGTCAGTTAATTTGATTGGAGCCTGCCTGAGTCAGGGAAGGTTCTAGTTATGTGCTTCACTGGGGATTGTTAGGAAGGGCAGGGTCTCAGCCTGTTGGAAAAGGGGATCCCCCTCTCTGTCTCTCTTATGTATGGCTCCAGCATTGGGAGAAATCAAAGGGAGGAGTGGATGAAACCAGAGTCCTGTGGAGTCCTTAGGACCAGTAAGAGAAATCAATGGTGCGTATACGTTATGGGGACAACAATGAGGGGATCATACTTCAATTATCAGGAGGCTGAAACTAACTCAGGTACTTCTGCAAAGCTGCCCCAAGGAATTGGGAAAGAAACCGTTATCTACGGCACCCCTCTCCCTTCCTAAGTGCACGTACGCAGGCTCTTTTTCCCTGTTTGCATTCCTGAGTGGTGACTACTGTAGGCTTCTTTTACAGGCCTCCTGTACTCCACATTCCTCTTTGGTGCTGGCTTGTTCTGCTGCATGTTCTGTAGTGTTTACTGACCTCATAATTCTGCTGTTGAGGCTAAAATAAGGTTTTCAAGGCATCTTCAGTTTTTGTATGGAGAATGCTATAATACAGCTTTATCCATTGATCTCAAAGGGCTTTGCAGAGCAAGATAAGAGTACCGTAAGTGCAAAGCAACTTGTTCTTAGTGTATTTATCACTTTCTGAAAAACATTCCTCCCTGGGAGTGCCACTAAGGCTGAGTTCAGTAGTTCTGCAGATAAAGTGAATCCTGAGGGTTAATCATTCCTAGAAAAGATAATTGTATCATATGAAATGGGAGCGCAGTAGAAAGTGTCATGAATTTTTCCCTAAATTTAAGAAGAAATGTTTTCAGTAAATCTATTTATTTCCCTAACACTGTAGAATTATACTGCAATGGACTAGAAAAATTATCATGAATAATTACTGAAATAGAAGTGAAACAAGTCTACTTTCTTCTTCGAGTAGTGTGTCCCCGTGGATGCTCCACTGAAGTTCCACTGAAGGTATCGGGCTTGTCCTGGCGCCGCAGTCTGGAGATTTTTCTCTAGCAGTAGCCCCGGGAGGACCGCGCATGCACAGAAGCTGTCTCATGCTGTTCATGCCTTTTCTGCGTCACATGGTCCGTCCCACCAGTTCCTCCTAACGGTCCATGGTCTTAGACGGAGTTGGGACGAACTCCTACCTCCACCTGAGGAGAAAACAGAGTTACTTGTATTTAGCTGTTCTTCTGTCCCAATTTAGCCCCTACCTTATAGTTAGTTAGTGTTTTTACAGTTCTAGTTAGTTTAAAAAAAAAAAGACGACTTTTTCATTATTGTACATACTTCTCATTTACTCCGCAGACTCTCTTAGTTTATTCTGACGGATGTTTTTCTTTTTGCCAACATGCCCAGCTCTCCGGGTTTCAAGAAATGTGCGTCGTGTGGAGATGCCATGCCGGCATCTGACGACCACTCCAAATGCATAAGGTGCCTCGGGGAAGGCCACATAACCCAAAAGTGCGCCCACCTGTTCCAAGTTAACTGCCCGCGCCAGGCAGGTCAGGGAGATGCGGCTTAAAATGCTGCTTTTTATCAAAGTGCTCCAGCCGCCGCGTATGGAACAGCAGATGGACACTCCGGCCCGTAAGTCCCACGAGACGAAGGGCTCCGCTCCACCTCGCAGCGCAAGTACAGGAGACGCACCGAGCACTTCAGGCTTGCCACCAAAACATTCCACGGGGAAGTCTTCCAAGGCCTGTAGTACTTCGGTGCCTAGCCCCATGATCTCCTCTGTATCGTGGCTGGGGGGGCTTGTAGCACCACGAGGCCAGCCGGCACAAAGAGCGGCTCCGAGGCCTGAGTGGGCACTGTCAACGGCACCGAGAGCCAAGCCGGCATTGAGGGGCCATGTGGCACTGAGAGCAGCAAGGCGGGGCAAGCTGACACTGAGGGGCCAAGCAGCACCAGGTGCAGCACTGAGACCTGAGCCGGCACCGAGACCCGAAGTGGTGTCAAGGGTGAAGGAGGCACCGAGAACGGCGTTGAGACATGAAACGGCACCGAGAATGGATACGGCTCCAAGAAATTAAGCTGTGCCAACTGATTGGAAGCGCATCAGTTTATTCAGCACAGGAGCCTGTTACCGTGCCACCTGGGCCTTCAGTTGTACACACGGCACCGACATCCCCAGGGCCCACATCATTGTCTGTGGACTGGGGTATGTCAGACATGGGCTCAATGTTATCCTCACAGGCTAGCCCTACACCCATGGCTCCTCCTCCACCCTCGAGGCCCACCTTGCCAACCAAGGCACAGAGGAAGGCTTGGCATGTGCGTACACCATCGTCCAGCCACAATAGGGCTGTGTTTTCTCTTGAACCTTCCCCTTCTCAACATCATTGTATAGACAGGCATGATCACAGGCGCTACAGATTGCCACCTTGGCGCTACTGGAGATCCCCATGGAGATCCCACACACCTCCACGATACCTTCGTTCATACTGTTCCCGATCTCCTCATTACACAATACGATCAGGATTTTCAGTGTCCCCACCGTGCTCTCACTATTCCTGCTATAGTAGTGCAAGTTCTTATTCTCCTTGACGCTGCCCTCATCATCGCCATGGTAGTCATTATACCTCCTACTACTGGGACCATACACACTCCTATAGTGCAGCTCGCGCACCATCGGTCTCACCAGAGTGTCCTCAGTCTCATTCGCCGCACCTTCCCACCCAGGAAATTCTCCCTCCGGGGCAAGCTCCCCCAACACCCAGCACAAGAGGGATGATAATCAGTCTCTTGTTTGCGAGGAGCGGTGCATGGACTCCCCTACCAACCAGTCGTCCTCTTCACCGGACGATGCAATCTTCCATGAAGACTCTTCCCCAGTGGATGACTACAAACAATTTCAGGACATGTTCAAAAGAGTGGCCCACTCTCAGAACTTGCGTACCTCAGACGTGCCGCAAAAACAACATGCCGAGGAATTTACAGAACACAACCAAATCAGAATTGGCCCTGCCCTTTGATGAAGCCATCTTAGAAATATCTAACGATATCTGGCAAACTCCAGCTTCTGTGCCCCCAACAAACAAGTGCGCTGATAAAAAGTACTTTTTTGATGCCAAAGATGCAGAATTCCTGTTCACGCATCCCCAACCCAACTCCATCGTTAAGGATGCAGTACAGCAGAAGTCGAAAACAGCACAGGGCAGGAACACAGCGCAGAACATGGAAGCAAAGCGCCTAGATCTGCTGGGTAGGAAAGTTTACTCCTCGGCCACAGCAACCCTCAGAATGGCCAACTATTCGGCCCAGGTGGCCAATCACGATTTCGACAATTATTCCAAGTTGTTACCTCTGTTGGAATATTTGCCCGAACCCAAGAAACAGATCCTTAAGGCTGTGATGCAGGAGGGTTACACGGCAGCGTGCACTGCCCTCCAAATTGCCCTTGATATCGCCGACACGGCCTCCCGAACAATGGCAACCTCTGTCGTCATGCACTGTGCTTCCTGGCTTCACCTGGATTCTGTGCCCGAAGACCTCCAGCCCAAAGTTGAGGACTTACCCTTTGATCGGCAGTCTTTGCTTGCACAGAATACATATCAAGTCTTCTATTCCGGGAAGGACTCACACACCACCCTGAGGACGCTTGCGA